GCGAGATCATAACACAGCGGGAGACTGTTTTGTTCAAGGCAACACTAAAGCCACGCAAGTCTTTAAACTCATTTTCACGTCTACAGTTTTGGTCTAAAGTTAATGTAATAAAAATGACTTGGATGTCTAAAAATAGCTCAAAAAAGTAAGACACGCGATCTATTTTTGAACCACTAACAGTTTTAATGTTGTAAAAAAGTAATTGCGGGACACCGGCTGCTGCGCCGGGCTTGTGCTTGATATAATTCGTAATGACGACGTTACAAAATGTCATTTGAGAAGTGGCAACACTCTTGTGACAATGGAGTTGCAGATGTCAATCGACGGCGGTAGTCACTTCCATTGGGTGATTCTCTTGCTCGAAATGTCATGAAAAAGCTTCTAAAACAGCGATACTATTGGGAATACTATTCCACCTATAGGCCGCTTTCTAGTAAGTGAACTAACCCTCGAATCTCTACGCAACAATGAGTTATTAATAATTATAAATAATTTACTGCTCTTGCCTGGTACGATGAAATAGCCATGTTTTGTCAGGTGGGCTGGCTCGCCCGGAGTGATACTACAGCTTCACAGAAAACTGATGTTAACAAGTTACATCTACTTCTGGAGGGGGAAGCTGGGGAGGGGCTCAAAAGGCTCACTTGTAGCCAGTTGTAGGTATGTAGAGGTCCGTGAGTGACGGTAGGGACCGATCAGCTCGATTACAACTATGCCATAAAAAAGCTTCAGAAGCAGTACTTTTTTAAAATTTACTTGACGAAACTTGGCTTGGATGGAAGACTAAACTTCATTAACATTGGTTGTTTAAATCTTTTGAGCATCATCATCATCATCATCAACAGCCTCTACTAGTTCACTGCTGGACATAGGCCTCTCCTTAGAAAGGAGGTTTTGGCCTACTATACCACGCTGGCCAGACGGATTGATATAGGTTTTGTTTCAAGTTTGCCTTTTCTTTGCGGTGCTGATATCCTGCGCTGTTTATTCCCTCAGTCGGCTCTTATGACACCGACGGAATGAATAGGGGAGGTGACTCTCAGTATTCTTAATCCATCACCACACGGATAATCTTTTAAGCATTAAACATAATAAATAAACTGACACTCGAAAATCTATAATATTATTGCTTGGAATTATGATAATTATGCCATTTTAATTAGGCTAAAGGCAGTTCTACCTCCATCTTAAGTCTTACTTACGTGACCAACGTATTTTGATCGTGAAGATGAATGAGTCTCTTATTTATACTGTTCAATTGTAATAAAATTAAACTCAAATCTGCTGATGATCACGTTTAAAAATCATTACCTACTAACACAAAGTCGTATTCTCCAAATGTTTGTCGGCAACCGCTGACCTGGCGGGTCAGGGTCATCGTTGTCTATTGACTCATAAAATTAAAAAATTGTTTGTAATAATAAATGTGAGCCTAACTAAATCTACAAATAACTGAGAAGCAAACTAGAGTTTTAAGCCGTATACACTAGCGCCGTTGTGTTCGATAGTAGAACTAATAAAGACAAATTTAAACAAAAAGGTGCCTAAAATAATGTATGTGAATAATAACTTTTTTATGACGAGGGGATTGGTATTGGTTGTGGGCTCTGATTGCCGCTTTTAGACTCATGAATGGTCCTTTATGCGTCGAGTAAATTTTGGCTAGGTGAGCCAAGATAGCTCCTTCCAAAAGCGCTGATGCCTCCTGGGACGTTCGCAGGCTTCTAGGAGCGATTTTGTACCACGTATGATACTTGCACGTTGTGTGGTCACCCCCTCGCATTCGTTTCTTCTGCTTGCAGGCATCCTCTGCAAAGAGGATTGTAAGTCGCATTAATGGTGAATAGTTGTCGGTTCTGGGCTAGGTTTCCTGTTATAATTCCTGCAACTATTTGGATATCTAGTCTGCTAAGACTGATGTTTGCAGGTGAGTCGTGATGAGACTTCAGTCAGCACCAGTCGATGACGGGGGGATAAAAGTAAGTTGCAGAATTTTTACACATGTATACATACTTGAGAAGAATGTTACGAGTTAAAAGTAAGAACCAGACATCTATCAACATGCTACCTGATATCGAATAATGGCTTCGACCCGAACAGTTGACATATACTTACATTATGAGCAGTTTGGGTGTCAAGGGCGATGTACTACACTACTATCCAACTTACTTCCCCCCCCCCCCGTTTCCTTCCCTACATACCTAAACTATTTATTGCCCTCGGCTTCGCTCGCGTAATTTTTACTACCTTTGAAAATGACGAGCTTGAATAAAACCGTTCATCCCTTATTTGACCGCCTCAGGGGTGCCATCTTCAAAAATTCTTTCTTTTTTTAAAAAAAAGACAACTCCCGCACTAGGAACATATCCTGTGGCGCAGGGGACTTTACAAACATTAATGTAACGGACACAAAGAACACCCAGACTCAGAACAACAATTGGATCACTGAAAGTCTTGTCCTGAGTGAGGATCGAACCCACAGCACTCAGCGCAGCAGGAAGCGGCGAGGTGAAACCACTACACCATCTGCGCAGTCAATATCTAATGGGTGCTTACAATATAAAAAGCTTTAGTTGCGGAAATTTCAAGTTTGAAGCCCCAGCGGCTTATAGCGGATCTTGAATATACTACTAAGGTTACAAACAAGCACATATAAAGGTAAAGTAAATAAAAAATATGCAATTCGTCTACCAACCGCCACTTTATTATAATAACAAATAAAATAGTTTTAAAATACCTGTGTAGGTGTTATTGGCTAATACATAGTAATCAAATATATTTATCATATTAAATAGTATTTTAATGAGAACAAAAATACAATATGTCTTGGTTGGCTTTCTTTATAGATCGCATATAGAACAAGGGTTGCCAGAACAATTAAAGTATAGTCGTTATTCATTAAAAGCGCAACATTGCTCAAAACTATCGTCTATTTATAGAATTAACTACATAAATCAAAGGCTAGCAATATTAATAGAGGCACTACACCTTTATAGGCTCTCCACAGCAATTTTTTTATGATAAATAAGTACAATATTTATGTTGAAGCGTGGCAACCCTATAAAGAACCCTTCTCACATACATTGAGACAAGATCAACCGCTTCATCGATTGTAAAAAAATAATAGCGGATTGCGACAAAATCGCAGTCGACCGACTATAAAATACTGTCAAATATTGCAATGTGTTATGTAGACGGGCGACTTTTCATTGCGATTAATCGTAGTCTACAACGTATGTTTTATCTCAGTTCATCTTGTGAACGTTCCAAACGCGAACTTTGTTAAGTTAATGTATACAATGTCGCAGTCTATGTTACCTTAACATTTTAAAACCAGTGATTCTCAAATTGTGACTTTCTCAGTCTTTGATTAATATCATATTATACTAAGTTCTGTCTTAAACCCGATTCTGTGTTATCCAATTTAGGCAGAACAAAATGTTAATAAAAAGTGTGAGGCATAATTTAATATATTTTTCTAATATTTGCCTAAAACCTGACAATTTAGTAAATCTTTTTATTTCTATCACTCTCTTACTAGTGACTTACTACTTCCAACACGAGATTGCACATCGAAATAACAAATCGCTGTTCACAAAAAATTTGGCCAAATTTTGCGATACAGGTTCTCTCCAGTCTATTCGCGTTTAGAAATAGTGACGCATCAATCAAGCCCCGCACCTAGACCAATCAGGTTCCAAGCTGTAGGACGAAACGTTAATTACTTACAACCTGATTGCCCAGGGGACGTAGTTTCATCGATACGTCACTATTTTCTTAACGCGAATGGCCGATAGTTGCTAACAAATCCTAACATGTTGGTTACGCAGATACTATTCACTGCGTAACTCACACAAGTATAGATCTCACACTTAAGTATCGTTAATAGGCTTCAACTCCGTACATGGTACACTGTGTGAATTCATAGTTAAGTCGGTGGATCTAATTAAGATTACCCATCTGTTAACAACATAATCTATACCAACACTATAAAGTGCTAATCTGGTTAGTATAAAAAAAAACTTTTCGTGTTTAATAGCCCATTTACGGAGGCAGATTAAAGGCTACATAACATCACGACCAATAGGAGTCGCAAACAATGGGTCAGATAGTACTAATATAATTTGCCAGGCTACACACATTACCTACTACAAAAATCACTAACGAATCGCTGGTTTGCCACCACATCGACCGAACTCCATACAACATAAATTCATTCGCCAACAAACAACAAATCTCATACCGGTCTTTGTAATGAATTTGTTACACTGTCATAACTTATTACAGAGGGAGAGTCATAATGTCATAGTTAGATCATTTATGTCTGGATAATGTCACATCACATAACAACAAAAGGCACTTCATTACGCTAGTGTGCGTGACAGCAAATCTTTATTCTTTAATAACGTGTCACTAGTAACATCACACTAGTAACACGGCCAATAGTAGGCCACTATTCTTTTTTCGACAGTCCATCTAGACATCAACGATCTAAGTTTTAAAATATTCAATCTTGATGATATATTTTAAAGAATATTTTCTTAATATATTACGAAAACTAGTGTAAGTAAGAAGTACAGTTAGATTTTTTTTAAGTAGCATTAACACTGGTCCCAATTCGACCGAACTCATTATTATTAGCGAGAAAAAAACGATGTTTACATTTTTATACACATTAAAGATCGAATTTTAAAGACTTACTTTTTACAGAACAAAGAAAATCGATTGACAAAAACAGAAAAAAAAAATGTCTTTGCCTATTCATACATATTTATATATATATATATATATGTGTGTGTAGTATATACTAAGATTGGTTTGAAAGACCCGGCGTGTTTTTGAGGTTGATTATACCCAGATTTATAGTGAGAAGAAAGAGTACAGTAGACCCAAAAAGACGGCCAGGTCTTTCCAGTATGACAGTGTAACAGTGAAGTGTTAAGGTGCGCACAGACATGAGACAGAGCCGACAATAACGAGACGTCCGTACGACCGTGCGATTAGTAGTCATCGATGTCGTATAGATTGTCGATTTCTTCGTCATCCAACTGCATAGACTGGAAGTCCACCTTGTAACGGAGAAGACCTGCAACAGATAAAACATTTATATTAGTTTCCCTCCTAACTGTGTAAATAAATATTGGATGTCCGTTTTGACCTAACCAGGAGGTTAGTGGCAGTTTCACTACTTCAGTGGCTACTACTAACCCCCTAGGTTTGACCTAACATGTTTTGACGAGTCTAGCAGAGTAGAGAAGGAAGATGTAGAAGTGTGATGGTGGATATTGGAACGCTTTTAACTTTTTAATAATAATCAGAATTAAATGATAAGTAAGATAAAAAAGCTGTTATAAATTCGCTATTAAATACTATTTAAATATATAATTATATACTAAATCTTTCCATAAAAGCCAAAATAGATCTACAACTAGTTTATATGTACACGGACGCTTGGTGTGTCATACGTAGCCTCGAAGAAGGCTGAGTATTTATAATATATTGTAATATCGAATGCTCTACGTTGTCACCAGACTCCTGTCGCTTTATGCTGGCTTTATTACTGATTAAAAAGAAAAAGGTAGATAAGTAATTGTATTGGAACGACCAATTTACGGACGAAAGAAGATTGAGTGTTCATTTTTATACAACTTTAAAAAAATGGGTAAAACATAAAAGATGAGCAAAATTTGAAACTGCTAAAGGATGTGACAGTGGTCGTTCCAGGAACTTCTATTGATCCCAAAATCAGAGTAACAAAACGCGATACAGACGAACTATAAACGCGCTTCACAGTTGCGTTTGTCTCGCTTTGCACGCGAGTTCGAATCGATAGAAATGCGACTATCTGCTTTTTGTGATCTACAGCGCTGTATGCACGCGTTTGTAAAACACGCGTTTGTAAAACGCGCGTCGTCGACGCGTTACGATTTGTGCAAAGGCGCTAAAAGCAAATCTGTTTACTTAAGAAATATTGTGTAAAACGTGGTGAAAGCGTGAATGAGAGTAGGTTTCATTTTTATGTAATAACAATATATTAATATATAATTAATAGGCATGCAAAAATAATACACCCAACACACACACAAAACAATAAATAATTTACCTCGTTTCCATGTTGTTAGCATGTTAATAAGAAATAATTAACGTAGACTTTTATTTTACAATCTGTAAGAGATCGCTGCTATAAGACGTCCATTCTAGTGTTTCCTATTATAATATCTTCAGTTAATTATTTTACAATAGTTTTTTCATCATCATTATCAGTAGCCCACTGCTGGACATAGGCCTCTCCTTAGAAAAGGTTTTGGCCTACTATACTACTGCCAGGCTAGCCCGACGGTTTGGTATAGGGTTTGTTTCAAGTTTTCCTTCTCTTTGCAGTGCTGTTGTCCAGCAGACTTGCTCCTTTAGTCGGCTCTTACGAACCACACTGGATGAATAGTGTGGTGACACTCTGTATTAGAATTCGTCACCTCACGGACGGACAATCGTTTTTTGGTGTGGTCTCAAGGATAAAGGAAAGTATTTCTTAGGAGCAAATCCCCATACAGTACCAGTCTGGTTATCATAGCACAGGCTCCGTCTAGTTTGGAATCAGACAACCGTGTGTGAGATGTGTGAAGTTATTATTATTACTTGAGTTTCCATTTAAAAAGAAAGTCTACTAAATTGGTTAAACTGGCGCTGGCTACTTGGTCCTGAGACCATGTTGAACTGAAATGATCTAACAAACAAACAGGCCCAAATCAAACTATTTACAATAAACCATTTAAAATGACTTGTATAAACCTTTCTAGAAGAAAACCGACGGGCCTGCAGGTTAGCGGTCCCGTGTAGCCAGTGGTCTATTCGATTGGTTGTAGAAGGCAGAACGTTTATTGAAAGCACAGTGCTGGAGTGAACATTATTTAAGTTTTAAGGGATGGATGACATTTCATTTAAACATTCGTATGATAATATTGTTCACCCATTTTCGTCTCCATACATAAAACATAATAAAAGTTAAAAAGAAGTTAATAAGTGTACAACATTTCATTTTTAACACACTTTTTATTATTTAAGAAAACTTATTTAACTAGAAATTGAAATGTATTCACTTAGATATTAATAAACATATTTTTATTTAAAATAAATTATTCAAATACGTTAAAGCAAAAGTAAATGATACACAATGCGGCTGTTAGATGGCGCCACGGTAGAGAAACCAATTCCTTCTCATAGCTGTCATCGCTGTTTTAAAAAAAAAATGGCTCGTCTTTTCTTTTATATTTTAAATTTCAAATTATATAAATATTTAATTACTTAATATATCCTAAAATGTTTAAATTACTCAACATTTATGTTTAAAATTTAGGCAATGAAATTATTAGTTTTTAAAAAATCGGCTTTTTTATAATAGGAGATCTTGTTCATAGTACATTTTTTTTTAATGGTATCGTACTAATTGAATAATGGAATAGTACTAATTTATCCATATCAGCCGTATTTTAAATTCGATTAAAATTAAGCACAACAATATTTATAAATATCTTATAGTAACTATAAATAAAAGTGGCGTCATCCTAAGACTCAATACAGTGACAAATTCGTTGAAAGATTACTCGACTATGTCCACCACGAGGAATCATCGAAATGGAGTTCTGGCTTTAACGGGATCGAAATGGTGTTCCGGCAGTTTTTCTGGTGACTGTTTTGACCTGTACGGGAGCCACAGCAGAAGCCCACAGTGCCGACAAGTTAGGGATGGATGCATCATTTGTGAATAAATTTAGATGTAATCACTTAGAAAATGCTTCTGATAAAAATTAGTGGCTGGGCCTCATGCGTTTTGTATGTATTGTATGTATATTCTTTCCATGTGCGTTTACAAATATCTTATCTTATAGTTTTAAATGTAACATGTGCAAAGGATTCCAGAACCGGGTATTTCAGAACCTTTTATAATCAGAGCTTTAGGGCAAAGGTATTTTTTTAAGAATCTCCCAGTAATTCCTTTAGTCTTCTCTATGGTTTGTTGATGGTCCATAGTCGAGTTATATTATTATAAATAATAAAACATAATTAGCACTTCTTGCTTGTCCCTAATTTCATAATATTGTTATATAATTATAGCGTATGGATGTGAATTGTATTATATAATAGCCCAGAAATATTATAGAAGTGACGACATATATTTCATCTAATTCAGATATAACATCAATGGATTAACATGCTTAAGAGATCGGTACTCATATTTATAGGCGATAAACAGTTTTAAAACTTTAACTATTTTTTATGGTATAAAGAGGCAAATGGGCAGACAAGTCACTTGGGCTCCAATTCTGATATTTTAATATTGTATGAATAGACTGTTAATGGACTGTCGTCGGAATAGTTGTGCACTTTTCGTATTCTACTAACTATGTAAGACCAATGGGCAATGGCAATGACTTATCACTGAACAGCCACTGATATGAATGTCTTCGATGTCTTTGTAATAGTTTGGTAAACTGTACTTTTTGATTTTTACTTTAATTTAATTTACACTGCGAATTTATGATAGTAGAATACCGATATTTTGATCAATGACAATGACATCTCAATAGCGTGTCGATGGAATGACAGTGGCTTGTACGGTAACGTAAAATACCTAAAATAAGGCCCTGATGGTAAGTGGCTAAAGCCGCCAATGGACGCTTTCAACTCAAGATTCACAAATGCGTTGTCGCCCTTTGAGTCCTCTCCGAGTCACTCCTGCGTCATGTTTTATAATTTGTACGCCATTAGTGGCTCGACATGGGATTCATGTGTTCACAAATGATTTTGATTCAAATGAAGATCGCTTTACCTCTTAACACAGGCAGGGGGGACCGATAAGTCGGGTCCACCACAAAGAGTTTATTTATTTATAAATATGAATACTGACTCAAAAATTCCTTATTGGAGACACTTAATATTTTCAATACTATTTTATTTCTGTAATGCTACACCTACTTTTTTTATAATTAATGCTAAGCTTAATTGATAAATTAATAAAGCGGGGAAGATCAATCACCAGCAGATTGCCATCCAACGTAATACGGTTTTAAAACGTATAAAGATATTAATAAAATTAACATTATATAATATAAATAGGACAGATTAGACGCAGAGTTGTAGCGTGACATTAAATTATATCAGTTTTTACAAGGTTTGGATAGACAATACTCACGATTATAGGCCTAATACTTTATTTAGTAATACATTGTATAGGTAATAGTGTTGATTAGTTGGAAAACTGGTTAAAAAACCGCCTGTTGGTGTACCGGACACCATAACAGGAACCTGTTAAGGTTTTGCATCACCAGAGGTATCTGGCATTCATGGCATTCTAAACTGAGATATTGGCTCATAAACAAATTCCTTTAGTCCAATATTGCTTTTAGCTTTCATTAAGTACAATATCATTTGACATATTATGCAACAGATCTGATGTTATGTCATCACTATATTTCAAGAAATACATTTTTGTTTATTTCATTAATGATTTAATGATCAAGGCTCATTTATTTTAACTTTTTACTTGTGTACAATTTTGCTATTTAAATCGTTACGTGATTCTGCCTATCCCGGGTAGGAATAAGGCATAACAATATGTAAGTACATATATGTTCATAAGCCAATTTATTTTTTGTAGATTAGAAGCTGCCTTGTAAAAAGTAATAAATTCAATAGTCTAGCTAATTTAGTAAAAACATTATAGCTAAAGTAATGTTTAGTATAGCATTAACTTAGGTAGTTTCGATCTTAGACGAAATTTCAGTCTTCAAGATAAAATTAAGCGAAATGGGTTTATGAGAGATATTACGAAACACTAATGTGTGAAATCTTAATGCGTATATAACAGTATCGCAAATGTAATATTGAAGCAATATTTCTGGGCAGTTTTAGACAACTACGTATACATGTACTGATTAATTAATACATCAATTAGTTGGTAAGAATTTTACGACAAAACGACGTCAAGTATACAAAACGAATTTGTCATCGTTTTTTTTTTGCTAAAACGAACGTGCTGGTAGTGACCTTTTGACCCTCTCCAGTTGGAGGTTTGGAGTCGAGAAACCGGCCGAATCATGGCGCTCCCATGGCAAAGATATTGGGCAAATATAAAAAATCGCGATTATTTTTTAACGGAAATGCAAAGAACAAAAAAAAATATTTAAATATTTCAGTAATTTAAAAAATCTAAAAATATAAACAAATTTTTATGAGTTTAAAAATTGTTGTGTTTTGTCGTAAAATATGATTAAATATGTACTACAGATAACACATATATTTTTTTGTTTATTTTTTCCGATTAAATTTCGTTTTCACTGTTGTAGTTCGGTTCCGTTTTAACATCGCTGTGGTTCGTCAATATGTGATTATTACGTAACATTGTATATGCCTACTTCCGCCCAAGGACACTGCAACTCAGGAGGCAAAAGTGCGTTATCACCCCTCAAAGGGAGGAGGGGAGGCGGCAGGGGTTGTTCGTTGCCGGGTTTTTGTTTATTAATTGTATTTATTCTTTGCAACATTACGTAACCATCCCTTATTTTAAGTTCAATCATCATCGATAAAGTATAAGATTTAAATAGTGGGGATGTATTAGTAATAGGGGACAAAGCAAAAGTTCTAAAGAAAGGTATTGCAGTTAAAATAAAAATAATAGTTTAACGAAATGGCTATTGAAGTGGCTCAAAAACATCACAACAATTTTAATCGATCAAAACTTTGACAAACCCGCTACTAAACAGCCCAGAGGGGTAACCATTGTAGTAGTAACATGCTATTCTTAACTTCAAATACCCAATTCCTACCTAAATCTACACTTATACCTTCATTAAATCCTATTTCCAGCCAGTCAAATAACCTTTATACTTAACTTTAAAGTAGTTTAAAGATTTAAAATCAAAACTACCAACAAATCGAAGAGACATTTGGAAACTGAGGGGGATTAAAATTATATTTTAAAGAACATAAAAAACATAATAAAACAAAGTTTTAAAACTACTATTGGACGCTGCGTGTATCGAGGTTTAAAACATTGTTTTTGAAACCTTAATATTTTTACTGTTTTTTTTTGTTAATTCGCTAATTACTTAATTGGTAATAACGAATATTACCAATTTAGTCATTTGACTCCCAAAATATTTAAAAAAAAAACAATTTTAAGACTACAAGCTCATTTTTTCTTTTTTATTAACATGAAAAAAAAACATATCATGAGGAGGGGGTTAGTTTGGGCTCCGGTAACCTTACTCGACGAATACCAACGTAAGAATTGCTAAACAGCTGTTTTGGTATTTCGGGTCCATTTGTGGCGAAGCCTCTCTCGCACGGTCTCTCAGGTTCACACTTAGTATGTCCCTAAGTTCCTATCCACGCAGCGTCCGATCAGAGTTTTAATAAAACAACAACGCAAGCATTTTAGTTTTAAATTTTACATAAAGTATTTAATGGCACGTTTTAATAGTCGTCCAGATCTACGTCGTCGAGTGGTTCGTCCAGCTGTAGTGATTGGAAATCCACTTTGTAGCGGAGAATGCCTGATTTTATTTATATTTGTAATATATTTATTGTATACAAACGTGTTATAGTTCCAACGATGTCCGAGCAGCAAGAAAATAGAGAAAGATGCAATGAGTAATAAAAACCTTTAATTAGTCATTAATATTTATAGATACATTTTTATAAAGAAAAAAAAAATACTGTCGAATTGAGAACCTCCTCCTTTTTTTGAAGTCGGTTAATAAACGGCTTATTAACGTGTATATTTCGGGAACAGGGGATGTTAACCTGTAGTCATAACACTACTGACGTCGCTTTGAGCATCTTCGAAATTATACACGTGAATTACCGTTTATCCTTTATGAATATGAACACCATTTAAATATTAGTAGAAAGTTATTGTAAGCATGAAGTAAAGTTTTTTTACAAAAATTGAACGAAGCTTAAAAGTTAATAAGTAAATAAATATCAGGTCGTTTAGTGGTTAGGGACCCTGATTGCTAAGCCAAAGGTCGTGATTTCGATTCCCACCCGGGACAAATAATTGTGTGATGAGCTTAATCATTTGTTTTGTCTGGGTGTAATTTATCTATAATATGTATTTAGAATTATATAAGTATGTTTATCAGCAGTCTGGTTACCATAGTACAGGTTCTGCCTAGTTATGGATCAGACGGCCATGTTAGTTTAGTATTATTATTGCGTACATACCTCCAATACCACCGAAGCCTCGCACGAACTGGCTGCCCTCCTGGCTCTTGTCAGTGATGATCTCTAATGTGGCTCCGAATGACTTGTAGTTGTTTGCCAACCACTCGAGCAGTGGCTGGCACTCCACCAGTTCCAACTCTACCCCGCTCTGGAAACAGATAACACTAGTTTAGTTCTGAGATATATGTTAGTGAGATATAAAAAGCTAAAAGGGTTCCTACTTGTAAATTTAAGGGTGGTCTTTATATTAGGCATCTTGAGGAACTTTGCTCTTATGACTGCATGGATGGCGTAGTGGTTAAAGCGATCGCTTAGCCACTTTATGAGGGTCTATTATGAGGGTTTTGGATTCGATTCCTACATGACACAACACTTGTGTGTGATCCACAAATCGTTCCAAGCCTTAATGTTGTTTGTGTCCATTTATCAATGTTTGTAAAGTCCCCCGCACCACAGGATATATTCCCAGTGTGGGAATTGTCTTTTCTTTGTTGTATAGGCAAACCACGTATCGCAGTATTACAGCGTAAGTAATAAATTAAGACATAAGATACAATGCCTGCTAAGCAGGGTTCTATTAAGAGAGTTTGATTTGGGTATCCTATTTTTTATTTTATCCTATTTATTTGAAGAACAAACAGGAACATACATAGAGTTTTATCTGAGTCATTTCAATCATTTAAACAACCCTGGCAGGTACAGGCCATCGTTTAAACAAAATAAATTTTAATGTATTCATAAAAAAAGAAATTACTTCTTTATCTGTGAAATGTGACTTGTCCTTCTCTTGTTCTGGGGTCAAGTGAAGAATGGTCTCCTGGTTGGTGGCGTGTGACTTCAGGACGTATCTGAAATAATTCATAACAATAATATGGGTTTTTCTTAAAGTTCTTGCTCTTTTTTAACATTCTTCCACGTACATCAGATCTCTCATACATGCTCTTCTGTTTTTTTAACTTGACTCTTTTTCACTATACTGTAGATCTGAATGTCAATTTTCGTAATAAATTCAGTTCCGATCTACTCTCGATCTCACAAACGTCATACCCGATATTCTCGTAGTATATAGTCTTAGAACTATCCGTCACCACACAGATAAATCAAGATAAATACTCAATAAATATGTACGATCGACCGCACTAAGTGATTTGAGAGACAAAATATAATAACCACAGGTCACAGTTAAAGCAAAATGAAGTATACCTTTGAATGTCAAGATTCTCCCAGCAAATCAGTGTTTCCACGGCGCCCAGCTCGAGGGCGCGCAACGTATCATCCACACCAAAGCAATATTTGCCAGTGTCCTGAAACAGAATGTATGTATGATTAAAACGAGCTAAGTTTATATCACTAAGAATAAATTATTAAAATCTTTATAAAAACTAAAACAGTAGAAAAATTAGCATTATGTGAAACAATGTCTGCAGCTTCCAGAATAATAATAACTGGATACGTCTTACACACGGCAGTCTGATTCCAAACTAGGCAGAGCCATACTGCTGATAAACATCCCATAGTTCTAATACATACATATTATAGATAAATTACACCCAGACACAGACCAAATAATCATGATCATCACACAATATTTGTCCTGGGTTGGAATCGAACCCACGAACTCCAGCTTAGCAGTCAGGGTCACTAACCACAAAAAGCTATATAACTGCAAGAAAACTAACATTACAAGTTACCGATCTTATTTGAATTCATAGATTTGCTAAAAGTAGTGCTCATGGCAGAGCATGCGAATGAATGAGGTTACGGGGAAACCACCGCCCCTTCTCTAATGCAGGAGGGAGGGGGGGTCTCAAAGGCCGGTTGTGTCTTTTGCGGTGCAGGTGTCTATAGGTTGTAGCTAGTATTTTTATATTTTGTAATGCTTCATATGTGACTTACCTGTGAGATCTCATCAAAGTACCTGCCGATGAGTTTCTTCTCCTGAATGAATTTGACGTTTTGCAGTGATTCAGCTGCCAGCTCAATGGCTTGGTTGAAGCCATTCTCCCCTCCGTACGACACATCTACCAGCTTGATGATCTTCGCTTGCAGTCTCTGTAGGATAAAAAAGAACATGAAGCACTTGGATAGAAATTAAACAATCAATCATCTTACTGGAACAGTTTTCTGATGATATGCAATGAGTTATTTTATTTTGACTAGTCAGTTGGTCTAGTGGTTAGGTTAGTGACCCTGACTGCTGAAACGGTAGTCGTGGGTTCGATTCCCACCCAGGACAAATAATTGTGTGATGAGCACGATCATTTGATCTGTGTGTAATTCTTCTTATTCTTAAAAAATACCTCCAGCGCTACTAATATGTCTTGTGTCATGGGGGACTTTACACACATACATAAAATGGACACAACGGACACCCCGACTCAGAACAACAATTTGTGGCAAAGTTTTGAAAGTGTTATCCCATGTGCGGATCGAACCCACAACACTCAGCGTAGTGGAAAGCGGCGAGGCGACCGCTTAAACCTCTATGCAATTCATGTACGTACTCGTGTAATGTATCTATAATAATTGTGTATCTAAAAATATTTAAGTACTTATGTTTATCAGACAGGCATGGTGAAAAATTTCAAATACTCACGGGATCAAACATATCGGACTGCGACAGCTCAGTCTTGAAGTCTGCTGAACCGGCTAGGATCAAGCCGGCGACGTTCGGACGGTCGGCGCTGATGAACAGCTGGGTGGCGACCTCGGCCACCTTGCGCACGTAGTTGTGACGCTTCTCCATACGGAGACGGGCGAAACGCAGCGCAGACTGACCACCACGACCGTGTTTCTTTGGCAGATCTACTGTGAACTTGTGCAGTACCTTAAAAAGAAACATAAAAATCAGTTGTGAGTCAGTCCCCGTGCCATAGGTCGTAGTACGAGGGTGGTATTTTTTGATAAAAAAAATCGTTTTTGAAAAAAATGTATGGCTTAACTAACTTGAGAATATCTCGATATAAAACGTCAATGAGTTAAGGTATTTAAAGAGAACTTTATACTTATTTCTTTAAAGATACAGTTTCTAACTAGTATGTAACGTTACGTAGAATAAATAGAATTGTATATTATTCTTAATCATACAACATATACATACAACCATTGACATTAACAGTGATATTGATGTTAGAAACAATTTCATTATCGCTAAAAGTTTCTATCAGACAGGCTCAAAATGGATTTAGTCACATATACAGCTTTTAATAGTCCACGGCTGGACGTAAGCCGCTCCTTGGAAAAGATGTTTTGGCTACGCTGGCCAGACGGGTTGGCATAGGGCTTGTGTTCCGTTTTCCTTCTCTTTGCAGTGCAGTTGCAATGCGTAGTTTGTTCCCTTAGTCGGCTCTTACGACGACCCGGGGTAGTGACACTCCGTATCTTTAATCCGTCACCACACTGATAGATTTATTATACATAAGCACTTACTTCTAACTCTGTGTCACAGCACAATTCCAAGAGCAATTACTCAGCCCATCTATCTTAAGCATTTTTTAATAAATTAACTTGGTAAGCGGCAATTTAAAAAGAAAATAAGCTCACCTCTCTAGTGTTACCCTGGAGTGTACCGAACAGCGCGCCGTTACCGTCCATCACGATGAAACCAAATTTGTTATCATCAGCGAGCAACGCCGTCAACGCCTCCGTGTGGAACTTGTTGTCACACAGGTATAACGAGGTGTTGATGGGTTTGAACGGCTCAAAGTCGATGTTCACTTTCTTTTCTTTGCCTTCTTCGGTCACGATGGTTCCGCAGTAGATTACGAGACCGTTTGGTGGTACTGGCAAAGAATAATAGTATTAGTTGTGTTGGGATGATATTTATACAGAAATTAAAAGAAGCCTTTAACTTCTGAACAAGACTGCTACCAATTGACTTCGTTAATATGTGGAGTGGAGGACTACAAAACGTACACATTTGCAACAAATCATTCTAATAAACAAAATAATGATATGTGCCAAAGAGTAAATACTGCATTTTGTACGTCCGTCATGCGGCCCTTTCATTTAACACAAGTGAGTTGCCGCCCCTTTTGAGTGACCCCCAGAAGTAAGGCGGTTGAGCCTGACTCACTCGGTGAAAACCAAGAAAATAATTGGTTAACATCGGTTTTCTCTGAAACTCTGCTATCGCCTGCCAATGTATAGCCCTTCCAAGGTAGATGTATATCTTACACTTATTTACTGAAAAAACAGCTTTTGAGTATTCAAAAGCTGTTTTTTCAGTAAATAAGTGTTCAAGGCAGATTCTCACCTTTCGTATACAACTTCAGCCTGTGTTGTACCGACGTGATGGCACCCAACACGGATAGACGGTTGACTCGCGACTTGATGTTGGAAGCGGTCCCGAACTCATCGGCCAACATTTTGGACACTCTTGAGATTTGATCCTTGGGTGGAATGATCAGTGAAATCATTGATGTGCCGTTTCTGGAAAGAGATACAGAATTGTTATTTTTACAAGTCTATTATGATCGTCTGTAAGTGACAATAATAATTTAAGACATCTTACACTAATGATATTATACACAAACAAGAGGTAGATACGTGAAACGCGAGGGACCTAATTAGGATCACTGCGAGCGAGCGCACGTACTAATATTAATTCGTAAAGTGCTTTCCTGTGTATTTCACAAGTGCACAAATTACGATGAAAAAGTAGATGATGAAAAAGGAATATCATAAAACAGGTAAGTGAATGTTTTGTTCTAAAATGCATTAATAGATATACATATGTACGGTTACGGAACAAATATTTTGTGCGTGCGGTATGAACATAACGTATGTTGCTTAAAATATAATTTTCTCGTCACGTCTATTCTCAAACTAAGCAGAGCATGTACTATTGTAACCAGACTGCTTATAAACATACTTATTATATTACTAATAAAATTAACTACTAAGGTTATTTTCTTGTTATTATAAGCGGGCGATTTACCATGTTTACTTTCGAGAATTAGTTTCCGAGATTTCAGCACTGTTGCAAGCGCCATGATCATTTCGAGCATATTGGCGTGTGTATCTGTATTACGAAATACATGCATACATACATATCTATACAAATAAATGAAATTTAAATGGTTTTTATGCTTATAAGATGCCAAAGAACCAGTTTAAATATTCCGGGTAATCTTCAAAACGGCTGGATCGATTTGCTCAGATAGATCCTCTCAGAAAACCCAAAAAAAATCCTATCCGGGATACGAACCCAAGGCTTCATGGACTGCAGTCGCGTACCGTACTACAACACTAAGGCAACGCTTCAAATTGCACGCGAATGAAGTCGCAGGTACCAGCTAGTTTTAAATAAATAAATTACACTCAGACACAGAATTAATGACGTTTAGCGTGAATGTGGGTAGTGGACATAATTGTTATGGATTTTGTTTGTTTAATTTCCAACATGCGCAATGTTTTATACGGCCCTAGAATAGTAAGGATCCTGTTATAAGATGTGATAGGCTAACCGTAAACATTCGGTTCAAATTAGCACCTCTGAGTGAATATGCATACGTTTCAAATATATAGACGAATTCAAAAAGATCGGAAGCTGTCTGTTTTCTATGTATATGAAAGTAGATTGGGCTAGTGGTAAAAAAATAAAATTAACAATATAATTTTATTACGTAAAAGGTTGTTATTTACCTACAACTGTAACAAAGACAGATTGTTGTACCTGTGTGGGGATAACGGGCGGGCGCAGTCGTGTAGCGGGCGCTGCGCGGATTTATTGATCCCGACTCGTAAACAATTGGCGGTCAATGAACTCTTAATACGATTTCAATTCCCCTCTATAAATCTTTATATGTAGATAAAAAGGGGTTTTTTTTTATATACTACTAAAGTGTACCACTTAGTGAGCTAAGGAAACATTTAGTGAGCGGTTTCCATTCTTTTCTCTAGGAATGTTTGCAACAATTTAACAAGTGCGCCGTCACGCATCGTTTGATTATTTTATATATAATATGGGAGAATTCGAAATACTCGTCAACTCTAGAGTAAGTAAATATAAGTTAAATAAACAAATATTAGTATCTAGAGAATAGCACTATTTACTCTTAAGTATTTGGAAAGCATAAAAGGTTTTTTTTTAAATTTTGCATGCCTATTATAACTTTTCAATTATTATTTACAATTTTTTATTTATGATTCATCTGTCAAAAAATCAATACAAATGATTTAAGTACCCTTTGCATCCAGTTCACCCCTTTGACAAAGATTTGGCACACGCACAGGGGCGTGACGTACGACAAGTCTCCGAGGGGTAAACCACCCCGTTTGTTTATACGTAGTAAAAACCAAAGGACGTAACAGGTTGCACATTTGAGCGGTGTATAACCTTTAGGTAGTGTAGAAATCGTGAATGGTAGGCGCATATAGGTTACTAGCTGACCTGCAAACGTTGTTTTGTCAAAAAAAAAAAATATTTTTCAACGCCCCCCCGCACAGCCCTCTGGGGGTGAAATTTCGTAAAATCCGTTCTTAGCTGACCTCTACTCGGTGAAAAGAATATTCCTACCAAATTTCAAGTCTTTAGCTCTAATGGTTCCAGAGATATCGTGATGAGTGACTATATACGTGGAAATCTCATATATATGTAGGTTATAACACTAATCACTAAGACATACACTACACAACACACGTAATTTAATACACAAGCAAAGCTATAAGCAAAGTTATAAATAAATAATATAAATATATATACATATAATATAAACATATATTGTTTTAGATAGATAGATAGATAGAACTCTTTATTTGTACACCATTTTACAAGAAGCATGATAGTTACATGAAAGTGTTATATACAATGTACAAAGGGCGGCCTTATTGCTATGAGCAATCTCTTCCAGGCAACCATAGGATGGATCAAAATGTTCGGGAGAGATAGTAGTAGTTGATGGTGAATTGAGTTTTCAGGTTAATTACTAACGAATATAAAAGAGATAATAACTACATATATATATAATATAAGAAATATACACACACACACACATATATTTATACAAATACACATACATATCTACATTCATAAAAACAAATACTTATACATACATAAGTACTTATACAATATCACATATAACAAAAAAAAAAGAAAAGCATTCAAATCATACCTTAACACGAGGAAGTAGCTGTCTTAATTACGATACCATAAATTCTTGGACCATTTTCTTAAAGCTGTTTATGGTTTTCGCTCGCCTTATGTTTATCGGCAGTGCATTCCACAAGCGTACAGCTTGAACAGTAAAAGACTGGTCGTAAAATTTTGTAGAATGCAGAGGCATCTCAAGCCTCAAATCTTCGGATGACCTCAGACACTTTTCATGTGTGTCATGAAGGAACTTGAACCGTTCTTTGAGGTAAAAGGGGGCTCTGGGATTGAACAAGATGTTATAGAGAAAAATGAGTATATGAGTATTCCGGCGAGAGCGAATCGGAAGCCACTTGAGCTTTAGACGGAATTCAGAAACGTGATCATATTTTCTTAGTCCAAATACAAATCGTATACAGAAATTTTGAAGTCGCTCAAGCTTATCAAGTTGGGCTTCAGTGAGATTCAGATAGCTGACATCGGCATAGTCGAGAATTGGGAGGAGAAGTGCTTGCGCAAGTGCAGCCCTAGTTGCAGTCGGTAGGAAGTTACGTAGTCTTCGCATGGACCCGGCAGAAGCAAATATCTTACGACTAACTTCTTGTAAATGTGGGCCCCAAGTTAAATTATTATCTATGCTAATTCCTAAATTTTTAACACTAGTACTGATCTCAAGTGTAGTGCCTTCGAATTCAATTTGCGGCATTTGTGTCCAGTTAATTCTTGAGACCAGCCCAGGACTGCCAATCACACATACCTGAGTCTTTTTAGGATTGACCTTGAGTCCATAATTATGACTCCATTCGCCGATGCGCGATAGGTCAGCATTGATTTTAATACGTACAACATAGATATACAGGGTGTAAGGGACATCGTAAAGAATACTGAAAGTGCATTCCGAGTCGAAAATCATTAGAATTTTCTGCCGGTAAATTAATATTTTTTTATAATTTTCCAAATTTTTTTTGTTAAAAATGATATCGCATAAGTAAACAGAACATTTCAACGAAAACAAATGAATAAATACAGCATAAGGTCAAAAACTGCAATGATATTAATCAAACAGCCGAAGCGCACGGGGCCTCCCCTCCGGCCGCCAACCTGTGTTAGTGTGCGTAGACTGTTTGCACAGAATACACATGCAGTTATTAATTTTGTGCGATACCTACGCGGAATGACCTTTACCATTGACAGCTGATTGCATAAAAAGTTTAATTTTCCCTCAGAAAATTTCAATGATTATATTGTATTCGTTACGATGTCCCTTACACCGTATATATTCATGTCGGAACTTTTTCCTCACAAAAAAAAAATAACAAAAGCCTGTTATAATCAAATATTTTTAAATTTTCAAGTTTTCACTTCTGTCGGCACTCCTAGAGTGCCACTGTTTTCTTTTATAGTACTTTCACTACGCGTAAAGTTGAGAGGTTTTTTTATCTAGCCTTTACGGGGATAGTTCTTTGGGTGGTAGACGGCATAGATACATAACGTTAGATAGATCTTCCAAAAGCATCATAATTATGACGGGAAGACTATCTATTCGCATGAGTCATTTGTTTGCCGAAGATTAAACTTGAAACCGAATGTTTTCGATATTGCTTATACATACTAAGTAAGAACTAGATTTCATGTGTGTGAATATAGTACATACATAAATTAGAGACATAGACTTCAAAGAATACAGAGACTCGTTTGAATATCTATACTAATATAGCTGAAGTTTGTTTCTTCAGTGTTGTCTCAGGAACTACTGGTTCGAATTGAAAAATTCTTCTAGTGTTGTATAGCCCATTTATCGAGGAAGGCTATAATAGGCTCTATAACATCACGCTACAACCGATAGGAGCCGAGAACCAATGATAAAAGTTGCAAAATTTTATTCCTTTTGAGAGATGCAGGCGAAGTTCCACAATAGGTATTCTCAGTAAAAAAATTTGTCAATAGTAATGCCAGTTCAGATAACTTGACAAAAATAGCATGCTCTGGTCGTTAATTTATAAATTATTTTCAATTTATCATTGCTTAATGCCTTCACAATTAAATTGCACAAACTCACGAATGTGAACGTCAATAAAGACAGGAATATTTGCCAATGCAATATTCATTGCCATTGTCCAGAGTATAAACTCTGGACCTTAATTCTGCTATTTTATGTTAAAGCCAAGCCACTGTCATGCCATTGATAGGGTATTTCGAGATGCCATTGAGACGCCTTGGACATCGGTCAAAATATCAGTATTCTACTAACATAAATTTACAGTGTCAATAGACTGTCGATATAGTAATATAGGTCATCACTGGCATCAATATTGCCATGCCTGGAAAATTAAATATA